ACATTCCTTCAAGGAGTCCAGGGCGAATGAGGGTCTTAAGCTCACTTAAGTTTAAGATGAAGAGCTCTTGGGTATCAAGAGCTCTTTCGCACCACAAATGGATGCAGAATTAGTCCAAAAAAAAAAAAAAAAAAAAAAAAAAAGGAGTTGAAGGAGAAACAGTATGGTTGAATAGTCTCAAAGTATCTTCTTGAAGGTATTTATTAATTTTAATGGGAAAAACAGTAACGCTACAGTGGAGAAATCCAGCAAACACTACCTTAGCCAATGGACAGCAGTAAGACCCATTCAATTAATGTCTTCCATACCTGAGCTGAGGCACTGAGAAGGACACACCATGTCTGTGGTTGTCTTGCCAAAATGCATAACCTCAATCTGATCATGAGGAAATATCAGGAGAACACAACCTGGGGGATATTCTACTAGTCGCCTTCCAAACTGTCAAGGTCATGAAAGATAAGGACGGACTGAGGAGCTGTCATAGATTGGGAGAGACCAAGGAGACGTGACAACCAATGGAATGTGGGGTCCTGGGTGGGATCTTGCAACAGAGAAGGGACATTAGTAGAAAAACCGGTGAAATTCAAGTAAACTCTGTAGTTAATTAATAGCATTGGGTCAATGTTAATTTACTTGTTTGAATCATGGTACAATATTTATGTAACATGATCGTATTGGGGAAGTTGGGTGAAGGGCGCATATGAACTCTCTGTATTACTTTCGCAACTTTTTATTATCTCAAAATAAAAATTTTAAAACAAAAATAAAAAAAAGCTCTCCTCCAGAGCAGCTGTCTGTACGTGAAGGACCCAGAGAAACTAGGTGGTGGGAACCGTGGCCGGGACACCTGAGAATTCTGTCTCTCTGCTGCCCACTCCCCAGCACCCTTCTATGTTGAGCTAACAGCTGCCCCCAGAAGCCTTCCAGATCGGCCCTGCCGGCATCTTATCACAGTCATTCATCCACCACGTTTTCACCACTCCTGCTGTGATGTGGACAGTTCCTGGTCCGTTACACATGTAGTGGGTTGGACAGTGCCCCCCGCTCCCCCGCCAATTCACATCCACTGGAACCTCAGAATGTGACCTGATTTGGAAACAGGGTCTTTGCAGATGCCATTATGTTAAGAATTGAGATGAGATCACACTGGGTTAGGGTGAGCACCAAACCCAATGCGTGTCCTTAGAAGAGACAGAAAAGGACACAGAGAGAGACACAGACACAAAGAGCCACGTGAAGCCGGAGGCGGAGATTGGAGTTGTGTCACCACAAACCAAGGACTGCAAGGAACCACCGGGAGCTGGAAGAGGTAAGAAAGGGTTCTCCCCTGGAGCCTTCAGACGGAGTGTGACCCTGCCGACAACTTGATTTTGGACTTCCAGAACAGTGAGAGAATACACTTCTGTTGTTTTAACCCACAAAGCTTGGGGTAATTTATCACGGCGGTCCCAGGAAATGAATACATATGAATTGTGCTTTTCTTATGCTTGTCCATGTCTTAAGTACTTTTGATGCGTACTTCTCTTCCCTTTCAGGCTGGGGGCTTCTTAAGGGCAAGGGGCAGTCTCTTCCATTAGACGGGGCTCTGAAGACAGGGGCTGTGCCTCTCTCCTCAGACTGGGCTGTCACTAGGTCCCCTCCTTCCTTAGGAACCCATCCCCTGGTGCCCAGCCCATCCTCAGCACACAATGCAGGCTCTGTGGGGGGCTGCTTGGCCCTGCCGCCTCACCTGTTTGGGTTGGCATTGATCCCCCCCTCCATAGGCTGGCAGGAAGACTCACCAACCACAAGAGACACCACCCTAGGCTCATTTTGGCCCCCTCCTCTTTGGGGTAGGTGGAGTGAGGGCCAGGTCATGGTGCCCACTTAAAGCTTGTTTAGGAGTCTGGGGCCCAGAGGACAAGCCCTCATCCCTTTAATCCCTGTTGTCCAGAAAGCTGTCTCTCCTCCAATGTCATGAGCACCAGACTGGACCATTTGTGCCTAGTTCCACGTCTGCAGAGATCAGTCCCAGGATCGAGGCCAGGGGTCTAATCCTGGGCGCTGGCCGGAAAGGGGTAGGGGACCTCAGACTTGTGTTCCAGGCTGGGGTTCCGGGGTCCGGAGGGGCAAGGAGGGCTGGCAAAAGTCTCTTCCTAGATTGTGTGCGTGAGTGTACATGTCGCTGGTTCCCTGTGCTTTTTACTTTTGGATTTCCCTTGGAGGTGGACAAGGAGCCTCTTTTGGGTTCCACCGAATCAGGTGGAAGGTTGGGGGAGGAGAGCTTTGCCCACGTCCTGCGCTCTAGGGATTTTATCCGTGGCTTCCTGCCGTGGAGGGAGACAGGGTGGTGGGCAGCACAGAGAAAGCTGGTGTTGGGCTCTGCACCCACTCCTGTCCTGCAGGTCTCTGTGGAGGCTGCATTTTTCTCTGGTAGGTATCCCCCTGCCCCACCCAAGGGCAGTATGCCTCCTAACAAATGCATCTGTCCCTCAGCCAAAATCCCTGCTGCCTCTCACTGGGGTAGTTGTAGGGCTGGGCCGGGTGGGGGACCATTCCCTGGAAGGAGATTAGAGTGTCCGTCAGGGGTGGGTGGGGCAAGGCGGGGCCCTTGCTTACTCATCCTTGCAGGTCCTTGGGCGGCAGATTTGGGGAGCCCACAGCCTCAAGTGTCTGTCTCAGCATTGTCTTCTGAGCTCCTAAGCCCCGGAGAGGGGGTGCTCCCTTGGCATGTGCTTTGGTGGCAGCCAGAGTGGCGGGGAGAGGGAGGCTTTGCTTCCCTCCTGGGAGCTGTTGATCCCAGGAAGAGCGTTGGAGCCTGCAGCGGGGGCTGTTGGGGCCTGTCTGGGGAGATGGGACGCGTCAGGCAGCCCCAGACACGACTGCATTCCTCCCAACATGCCTGCTGGGGTCCGTGGGGCTGAGGGGCTGGCGGGAAGGCGGGTGTGGCTGGAGGGGGTGCCTCTGGAGGCTGCCCGGGAGACGTGGGGCAGCTGAGGTCCCAATATGCAAGCCTCCGAGGCAGAACCAAAGGGACCCCTGGAAATGTCCCCCTGAGCCTCAGGGTCTCAGGAGTCAGGGACCCTCGAGTACACTCCCAAGTGCCTGCACTGCCTCTCCACCCCCAAATCTCTTGGGCCAGCAACACAAGGGGCTCAGACCAGGGTGCCCGAGCCAGCCTCTCCCACTGCCGCTGCCCTGGGGGCCTGGAGACACCTGGGGCTAGAAGCAAAAAGGCTCTCCTGTCCTGTTCCAGGGCTGTTGCGCACCCTCTCTGTGGCCAGACGAGGCTATAACAATGCTAACCAGACTTCGTGCCGTACTTGGCTTATAAAACCCTCACATATACACTGCCACTTGGATTCTCGGAGCTGACTCTGCAGTAGGCAGGGTGGATGATGTTTACTCCCACTTTACGGTGAGGAAACTGAGGCTCGGAGAAATGTCAGGTCACACAGGGGCACACAGTAGAGCCCAGACTCAGTCTGACTCCATGCTCTTTTAGCACGACTCTGGCTGTGCCTGTGAGGCCC